GGAACTGATGCTGCAGAAACTGATGCAGCAGGAACTGATGCTGCAGAAACTGATGCAGCAGGAACTGATGCTGCAGAAACTGATGCAGCAGGAACTGATGCTGCAGAAGCTGCAGCTTGTTCTGATGCAGCGTCATCCACTCAGAGATCAAATGATCAAGATTTGATCTGATCCCCAGAGATCTACATGAGGATTTCTTTAATCCCGTCTCTCGTTTCTTTCCTTTTTTACTCTTTTTTTCTGTCGTCATCAAATCCTAAATTGAATTTCTTCAGACTTAAATAAAAAACACATGAAAAGGAAATATATGCAAATTGAGAAAGAAAATAACTGATTATTTTATAGGTGTGATTAATGAAAAACCAGCAGATGTTTCCCTTCCTGGTGATATCTGGACAATCTGATTGTCTCTTTCTGTCTCTGATTGTCCCTCTGGTCTCATGCTGTGTCACCAGTCGGGGACAGAGGACGGTAGGACAGCTGAACGTAGAACTAGAGCAGGCAGGTTGTGAGGGACGTTCAGGTCGTGGTGGTAAAGTTTGATCTGGACCAGAAGCTTCTCTCCTCATCCTGGAATCAGATTAAAATCTGGAATATTCTGGATCTGTCTGACTACAGATGGGAATCTTTCCAGTGATTTGATTCTGATTTTAATTCAGAAACTTTTTTCTATTCAAACCTTTTACAGATGCTGATTGATGAAGAAATGTTGAAAATCTTATTTCAAACATTTCTATAAAGTTTCAGACTGCATCAAATTTCATCAAGTTCATATTTAAGCAAAACTATCAAATTCTTAAATGAAATATCAAGAAATGATTCAGAATACGAACGGTGGCGAGTGGACGCGGCGTGCAAAGACGTAATTATGAAGTCAATTTTAAATGAATTTGAGCGTTTTGAATCGATTCCAAATCACTTCAACTCCAATCAATTTTTAAAACCTTCTGGTTAAAACCAGGCGAGGAGGAGTGACTGCATGGAGACAAAGATGAACTTTAAAGGCTGAAGTCGTTCTCCTCAAACCAAGAAACAGAACTCAAGTCCGACTCGACGACTGAGATGAATATGTTTCTTGGTTTGAGGAGAACGGAGCCTCTAGGGACATTCGGACATTTTGTTCTTTTGCGTTCCCTCGCAATAAGCGTCCTGCGATGCCTGCTGGTCTGTTCTGTAGTCATGAATGTCAGTTTAACATTTCCAATATGTACATATTTAAAGAGCCTACATGTGCGGTGGTAGAGGGTTAACTCGGGGAATCTCATCTTTTCAGGGCCTGATCTGTTAAGTCAAGTTTTATCAGCAGAGGAAGCAGGAGGGAAGGGGGCGGGACTTCCTGTCACCAATCAGCGCCTTGTCTCAGTATTTCTCTGAATTCATATTTCAGTCAGTAAAACGTTTCTGAGCGAATAATAGAAACGATAAAACGAACATTTTCCATAAGGGTTTCTGCTGACTCAGGTTTTCTTGGCTGGTTGCTAACCTGTTAGCATGGTGTGTCAGATGGAGATGTGAGATGATGATCCAGGAATCAGCTCCCTGATTTCTGTTTTGATTTGGTACCAAGAACAAACATAAAGATTCAGAGTTTCCATTGACTGGTGTTTCATCAGAATGAGTGGAAACCAGTTTACTGCTGGTTTCTGTCTGCTGACTGGGGAATCATTCTGGATTTCATCTCTGATATTTTGACTTTGTGTGATTTTTTTATCCTGAAACGTCCCGATGTGAAGCAGCTGCGGGTGTGTGTGTGACGTCCATGCACCGCCAGACGTAAACATGCAACCCAACGGCGGCAAAGCGTTGGATCAACAGATCCGTTCTGTTCCCGTCTCCCAGTTTGTTTCTTTGGTTTGTTTCCATGACGCTGTGAAGGTTTCCGTTTTCTTCTTCTGCTGATTTCTGTTGCATCGTTTTCAGTTCTTCTCTGTCCTCCTTCCTGCAGACGTCTTTGACAGAGTTCAGCTCTTTGTCACGTTCAGGTGTACAGCAGGAAGTGACACGTTTCTGTGTTGCTTCCTGTTCAGACCAGCTGGTGTATCTGGGTCAGGTTTCCATACATGCATCACTCTGACTGTGGAAACTCAAACTTTGTTTTACGTCACGCTGCAGCGCAGCCCTCTGCTCAATAACTTATTATTATTATTATTTGATGACAGTGGCAGAGATCTCAAAGCTCTGGATTTATCTGCTCTTCTGCTGAGTCTGTCCTCAGCTGATTGGTTCAGAGGAGGCAAAAGATTCGGTCCTGCGCTCTGATTGGTTCCCACTGCTAAGCTGCTTTTTCATCTCGTCTCTGAGTTATAAACAAAAAAAATCATCTTTAAGCTCCTGAATTTATTCTCATGCATTTGAAACAGATTCTCAGAGTTACATCTGATTTACTGTCAACGTGTTCGATAAAGTTGGTCAAACTGGGCAACTAAACTGTGTTTGTACATCCAGTCTGGTTGTTTTATTTTCCAGATGTTTCTGTGAGACGATGGATGAATTAGGATTAAATCTTTTTTACTTTACATCAGTGACACTGAAGTGTGAAAAGTTTTCACTCGGTGCGTTAAGCAGCAGCATGGCAGCAGGTTCTGTTTGTGGGTTGAACCCAGGTCAGAGGTCAGCTTCAGCCTTTCTTTGCTTTTCTCTGTTTCAGTTTCTGTCTGATCAGACGAAACGTCTGGCTGCAGATTTATTTATGTTTGTGAGCATAAAGCAGCTGAGATGTGGAGGAAACACTGTGTGTTTGTGTCTATGTGTTTATGTGTGTTTGTCTCTGTGTGTGTGTGTGTGTGTGTGTGTCTCTGTGTGTGTGTGTGTCTCTGTGTGTGTGTTTTTGTTTGTGTGTCTATGTGTGTGTGTGTTTGTCTCTGTGTGTGTGTGTGTGTGTGTGTGTGTGTGTCTCTGTGTGTGTGTGTGTTTGTCTCTGTGTGTGTGTGTTTGTCTCTGTGTGTGTGTGTGTCTCTGTGTGTGTGTTTTTGTTTGTGTGTGTGTGTGTGTCTCTGTGTGTGTGTGTCGGCTCTAACATCTGGCAGAGACGGGTGGGGGAGGGGGGACTCGTTTTAATCTGCTCCAGTCCTGCTGGTTTCATAACGGTTGGATGAAGTTTGTTCTGATTGGACGGTTTTATGTATTGAATAAAAAGATATCTAACAGCAAAATCAAGTCTCTTTCTTGTAAATGTTTCTGTTCATAAAGAGGCAGAATCAGTCCAGATGTGGATGTTTGGACCTGGATGGTCTGACTGTTGAATATTTTTTACCTGAATTCTTCAGGTTTGTATTTTCGTCAGGATATGAATCTGATCTTATCTGTGAATGTTTCCTGGTTTGGCCTCGTCTCTTCCTCTGGGCTCTGATGAGCGGATGGCGGTTCTGGTCCGGTCCGGGCTCGGTCTGAGCCAGCGGGCCGGGTCATGTGACGATCAGGGATTACAGATTTAATCTGACTGTCATGAAGCCCAGAGAGGAGGAACTGAGCTGGACAGAGGAGGAAGGAATGGCGGCGGCGGCGGCGAAGGATTTCTGAGTCCATTTTGGTTCTGATGGAGAATCAGAAAGGCTGCAGCTGGTGAGTGAGTGAGTGAGTGAGTGAGTGAGTGAGTGAGTGAGTGAGTGAGTGAGTGAGTGAGTGAGTGAGAGAGAGAGCGCGTTCATGCTTTAGTTCCTACTTCCTGTTGTTTCAGCAAATCGATTCAGTGTCAGTTTGTTTTTTCTCTTTATGCATCAAAATGAGTCAAATTTCTGCAAATATTTTTCTTTTGCTTCTTTTTAACATCTGATTTTCATTCCTGATCATTTCCAGTCGTTATAGTTTATTCATGGCAGCAAACCTGAACATGCATGATGTCATCACATGGTTCTGATGCTGCAGGACCAACCGACCAATCAGACTCTGACTCATAATCACCTTCACTAGGAATAAAATCAAGCTGCATTTTAGTCTTATTTTGACCTTTAAGTCTGTTTTCTATTTGTTATTTGTTTCCTTTTATCATCCATATTGTGTTTTAATAGTTTTTATATCTGTAGTTGTGATTTGCAGTGTGCTGCTGCCAGTCTCTCTGGAAATATTTATTAAAATCCTTAAAGCAACAGCGGCACAAACTAAAATCTTTGCTGTAAAACATTTAAACTGAAATAGTTAAATTTTCTATTTTCTGCTGCAGTTTTCCAGCTGGCCCTTCAAGATGAAGGCGGAAAACCCGGATGAGACGGGAAGCAGAACCAACAGCTTTCAGAGGAAGAAACCGCCGTGGCTGAAGCTGGACATCCCGACCATCCAGCTGACGCCGGACGAGCCGCCGCCGGCCGCCGCGCCGCATGTTGGGTCACGTGTTGCTGCAGTCAGACGCAGCAACGAGGCGCAAGACAAAAACGAATTCCAGGTAAAAACGAAAACAGGGAACTTTACCTGGGATCCAGCTGGTCCAGCCTCTTATGCTGCGTGTGTGTGTGTGTGTGTGTGTGTGTGTGTGTGTGTGTGTGTGTGTGTGTGTGTGTGTGTTGCAGCCTGTGAAGCGAGTGCGCAGTGTGAGCATGCCCGGGGAAAATCCACACACACACTCTGCTGCCATGGAAACGTCCAACGGCTACCTCAAACCTCCAGTGGAGAAAATGGCCGTCATGCAGTCCATCAAGAGGTCACACACACACACACACACACACACACACACACACCTTCGTCTCAGATCACCTGTTTGATGCTCCTCTTCCTCCTTTAGGGCTGAACTGATTATTATTTAGTCATTAATTAATCTATTGATTATTTCCTGATGATTAATCAGTAAAAATATCACATGCTGCAGATTTTTCATTTTTATCAGTATAATAATAATAATAGTTATTATTATTTTATTTTCCTGGCACCAAGGTGGGAGAAAAATACAATTTAAACACAGAATCAACCACACAGCAAAAGTAAAAACTTAAATTATTAATAAAACAGAATGAAGAATGAAGTGAATCCTGATTATATTTAGATTTTATCAGAATAATAAAATTCTGGCTAATATCAGTTTTTCCATCTGTTGGTTCTTTAGCCACTGCAGATGTTTATACATTAGAAAGACAATAAAAATGCAAATAAAAAACATGATTCATTTTTGCCTAAAAGTGAAGGCTGCAGATAAAAATCCTTCTAACATGAGAATCAATACAGAGTGGAGCTGATCTGGTGATTATCGTTTATAGATTAATAATTGATAGGAAAAGGTGATGAATAGAGATTTTTCCAGGTAACGCTAAACCTGAACTAGAGCAGTTCTGGTACATTTATGTTTTTATTTTTATCTTAAAGCAAAATGTTTTTGTTCAATTCTGGTTTCTTTTTTGCTCCAATTAATTATTAATGAATCCATAAATTATTAGAGGATTATTTAAATAACCGATTGAATCTCAGTAAACAGTTTGTTCTCTCTTCCCGCTTCTTGCCTGATTTAACCCTGCTCTCCTTCCTCTTCCTGTCTGCTCTCCTTCCACTTCCTGTCTGCTCTCCTTCCACTTCCTGTCTGCTCTCCTTCCACTTCCTGTCTGCTCTCCTTCCGCTTCCTGTCTGCTCTCCTTCTGCTTCCTGTCTGCTCTCCTTCCTCTTCCTGTCTGCTCTCCTTCCTCTTCCTGTCTGCTCTTCTTCCTCTTCCTGCTGAGTGAAGTGAGAAGCGGGTTCACTTCGACCGCCTGAACACCGTCCCTCCAAAGGGCCAGCGCTGCTCCAGGAGGGCGTCGACCGGTCGCCGGCGCTCTTGTGTTCCTAAAATTCTGGCCCGGCGCCGCTCGTCTATCCCCAAACAGATCATCAGGTACCAGTGGAAACCGGTTTGGGTCGGTCTGAGGCTGACATGGAGGGGGTGCGCTGCTCAGGTGGAGAAAACTGGAAGACTTGCGTTGCCATAGCGATATGACCATTCTTCTTTCTGCTGAGTTTATTCAAATTCTGAATTTGGATGATTTTATTTCTGTCACTGTGAGACTTTAAGACCAGAGTATTTAGATTTTACTTCAGGATTTTTCCTGACTCGGCTCCAACTGAGCGTCAGATCAAACTGAGCTCCGTCTTGATCTGGAGTAAAGGAGCAAAACGTTCCCTAAGCAGAACCCAGAACTCTTCCTCTTCTGGTTTTTCCAAAGTTCTTCCATAAACATTCCTGTCTGGAGGAGGAGCCCGCAGCATTACTCCTTCCCGTCATGCTCAGCCTGCTGTCCATGATGACGGATGAGTGTTTATGTAGGAACGTTCTGCTCTCTAAACACTCCTCTTCCTCCTGATGAAGCACAGCCTGCCGTCGTATTTATTTATTACTCTGATCTACAGCAGCGTTTCCAAACTTTTCCATTTCCATCTGCAAACCCACACAAGATGTAGCAAAACATGTAAGAAACCTCAGAATGTTTTCCTCCCAGTTATCATCAGTTTATTATAAATACAAACATTCATTCAGAGTGAATGAATGAATTCAACCCTCCTGATTCCAGGACGGTTTTCTGCAGCTGGAATCACCTTCAGCCGTTTTCTGCTCACAAATGTTTCCATTTTGTTTCTGCTGGTCGCTACGCTAGTCGCTACGCTAGTCGCTACGCTAGTCGCTATGCTAGTCGCTACGCTAGTCGCTATGCTAGTCGCTACGCTAGTCGCTATGCTAGCTGGAGGAGAAAAGCAGCATGACGAGTTTGACTGGCAGCCAATCAGAAAGATGAGAAGTTTTTCTAAAAATGATGGAAAACAGATTAGATTTTATTCTGAAAAACAATCACTAAAAATTTACGATGCGCTCCATTTAAAGGGAAACGTTAGAGAGGACCTGAGCCAGAAATGAACAGTTCATGAACTGTTCATCTGACTCTTTACTATCAGATCATTTGATCTTCATCCAGAATGGCAGCTTTTAGTGATGAAGCTGAACGGTTCAGTTTCTCCTGCTGGTTTCTTCCTCATTCCTGACATCCAGCTCCTCTTCTTCACCTTTCTGCTTTTCTTTATGGAAAAAAACAAAAACATCTGATTCTGTTTGCTTCTGTTTACTGGACTGATCTGCAGCCACAGATGAAATGATGATGTGATGAAATGGTAATCTAACGCGTTACTATTTACAATCCAACAATCAGATTAAAGTTACGTATCCAAGTCACTGTGTGTTACTATATTTGTCTTTTTTTTTGAAAACACATATTGTTGCGTTCTTCTTTTTCCTGGGGGAGATACGTTTCATGTGTTAAAGCAGCGACGCAAACATAAACGATGGAGGGAAAAGAGATGCACATTTTCTAGCTGATGGATGAATTTTTCATTGAGTAATCAAATTACTCTTTCAAATTAACTATGCCATCCATGGTAATAAACTAACTACACTATATATCGTGTGTAGGCCTGTCACAATAACAAATTTTGATTTTTGATAAACGATATTGTTGTTTTGAGACCATTTTTAAGTAATAAAATGTTAATGGCAAAATAATAATGCAAGAACACAATCTGAAAGATCAGCACACATTCAATTATGATGAAAATTTAACACTGCAACTGGTAGACATTTCAAATATCCAAAATAAATAAACAAAACGACAAAATGAATTTTGAAGTCTGTAAATAAAATTTTACTTCAAAAAGGTTTAGTTGAGAGCAAAGCAGCAACCCGAGAGTTTTTATCATACAGTTTTTGGTAGAAAGAGAGAGAAATGAAAAGAGAAACGATAAATCATGCCAATGGAAATTATTGAATTTGTTTTAATTTATCGGACGGAGCTCGGTTCGTTGTGCGCGTTGAAGCGGACACGCATGCGCAGTGTGTCGCAGCGCGCCGCTCTCCCAGGCGGCTCCAATGTAAACCTTAACTATAAACGCCACACGCTGTTTGGCTCAAACCGCGACTACAACTCAGCTTTCCAGAGAGAAAAAAGGAGATGTGAGCTCGGCGGCTGGGCTGATACAGTTTATAATCAGTCTACAGTTAACTCACTTTGTGAATAACAGTAGAGTTGCTACCTGAAACTCTCCTGGCTCCCTGGCTGGGCTGCCAGTTTTGGCGGGTCTGAATCGCTGCCAACAAAAAACTCCGCTTCATCTCCAAGACCACGAACAAAATATGCGTCCAGTTTTTGGCTTTTCCTTGCGATTTCCCCCCCCTTGCCGCTCCTTGGAGCTCCACTCCTGTTAACTTGTAAAAATGTTCTCGCTAGTTTGCCATCTGTTGCCAAGAGACTGAAGATGACGTTGGACAAGTTTTACCCAGAATGCACTTGGAGACGATAAGGACGATCCTCTTGTAATTTTGCGTCTCATAGAGTGAAATGTAAGAGTAAAGATAATGCCAGTCACGTAGCATAATATTTTATTCAATATTTTACACCAACAGTATCACTAAAATCAGTCGGTCTAGTAAAGCTTTAAGCAACCATGAGTCAACAACGCCTGGGGCAGCTGCTATATAATTCACTGGGGCAGAGTCGTTTTCTGTTTCCAAGCTCATGAGGAGACGGCTCACCTTGAAACGACGCCAGGTGAAGCGGGGGAACAAATGCGCCTCCCTCCAATCACCTCATCCTATGCGTGATGACGTGATGTCACTCTCACAGCCTTCTCATGTTAAAAACATAAAACTGAAAATATTTATTTGGATTTTATGGAATCAACCAACAGAAAGATGTGAAGGAGAACAAAAGTTACCAGTCTGGCCTCTTCTGCAGAACTGGTTTCCAGTCAGAGTTACTGGTTTCCTCCTGGATTCATCCATCTTCAGTTCTGGGTTTGACTAGGTTCATTGGTTCTTCTCTACAGAACCTCTGAACCAGAACCTCTGAACCAGAACCAGAACCTCTGAACCAGAACCAGAACCTCTGAACCAGAACCTCTGAACCAGAACCAGAACCTCTGAATCAGAACCTCTGAATCAGAACCAGAACCTCTGAACCTGAACCTCTGAACCAGAACCAGAACCTCTGAACCAGAACCTCTGAATCAGAACCTCTGAATCAGAACCAGAACCTCTGAACCAGAACCTCTGAATCAGAACCAGAACATCTGAACCAGAACCTCTGAATCAAAACCAGAACCTCTGAACCAGAACCTCTGAACCAGAACCAGAACCTATGAACCAGAACCCCTCAC